CTCCTGGCCCCCCCCCCCCCTTGCCTGCAGGGCCCCAGCCTCAGCCAGGCACTAGCTGGTGGTGGGGAGCACTCCTCACCCCGCGCTTAGTTGGGACCATGGGCTGGATGTGTGCCGTAGCTGCCATCAGTCTCAGCCAAACCCACCATATGGAGCCGGCGGCGAAGAGGAAACAGCCCACGGCCCCGTGCCGCTGACTCGGCGAGCATTTTGGATCTGCAGCCTACCCCAAAACGTTGTGCCACTCGTATGGGGCCAAGTGAGAACAACTCCCGTGGGTTTATTCAATGAAGTCTCAGTGTCCTGACGCCCACTGCACAGGCAGCGTCGCTTTGACAAGCGAGTGGCAGCAGTCTCACCCCACCGAGGCTGACGTTGGGTTCTGCCCTTGCCTCAATCAGCCCAGCACACGCTTCCATCCGTCCTACCAAAACGGGTGGCGACGAGCCGGTTCCTGGCCCAGAGCATTAACCGTCTTTCTCCAGGCTGTTGCAAAACTTTGCACAGTTCCTGCACAAAGCAGAGTCGCGGTTTGGTTTTAACTGCACAGGAATGTTCTGTGAAAGTGCATTTTAGATTTAAATATGCTATTTAGAGCAAAGGTGGGTTTATATTTTTACAGCCTTAAAGTTTATACTTTCTGTAGGTCAAATGTCTTATAGATTGAATTTCAGGCACATTTTCCCTATAACAGTGACGTTTGTCTTTATATTTTAGAGTGTGGAATTTTAAATCCCGTAGTTCGCCTTTTCCGTTCATGTCTAAATATTCCGATATTTTGCGTTTGTCTTTTTTTAAGCAACATTGGACGCCCTTAGCCAGCGATCGGAGATCGGGTGCCTGCGGGATGCGGGTCACCTGTTAGGAGCTTCCTGCGTTCTGTGCATTGGACCGGGGAATGTGAGCGGCGCTTCTCTACGGGAATATTTTAACGCATTTATTTAAATGAGTGCTATAGGTGTAAGCAGGCAGGTGCTGGAGGATGATGTCGTGTAACAGTATAGACTTTTTATATTATCACTCTATTAAAAAAGAGCTCAGCGTTGGCCTGAGGGCCGCCGTGCGCGGTCCCGCGGCACCGGCCACCCTCCGCTCCAGCCGCCCGGGGGTGCCC